GCGCCCTCGCCTGCTCCGCCGCGCCACCATGTCCCATCACTGGGGGTACGCCGCCCACAACGGTGAGTGCGGGCCGGGTCTCGACCCCCGCCCAGTCCCTGCACCTGCCGGCCGGCGCCGAGCGCAGGCTCCGTGCGCCCCCGGCTGTCGAGGAATCCGCGGGCCGGCTCCCCCGGGCTCCCCCGGGCCCCGGGCCGTCCTCGCCCGACCTGGGAGGCAGCGGCGGGGCTGCGCGGAGGGCGTTAGCTGCGGACCTCGGGGAAGTCGAGGACGCCCGCCCGCCCGCCGGCGCGGCGTGAGCACCACCTGTGGCCGCGTCCCGCGCCGCCCGCCCGACGCTTCCCCAATCCGGCGCCCCTGCTGCTGAGTGTTGGCTGCATTTCTCAGTTTACGATGTTAGGGGGCCAGAGGGCCCCACAGCTGGGTGACCGAGCCAGCTCAGGCAAGCTGAAGCTGCATTTGGCCGTCAGATGACCCTCATCTTACGGGGCGGGGTATCCCCCGTAGGGTCCCAGACGATGAAGGGGGGAAGCTGCGTGTGCGCCAGCCTCGAGGGGGACGTGGACCTGCATGCAGCTCTACGTGCCTTTGCCATCCCAAATCCCTGGCGTTAGCGTCTGCTTAGTTTCCTTGCTGAATTTACATTTAAAAGACTGTAAAAATTAACGAATAATTATATAACACCTTTCAGTCTCAGGACTTTGCATAGATATTCATTCGCTTTCTCAAAACATGTATGAGGTAAATTTGTAGCATTTTTTATTACCCCATATTGCAGATGGGGAAACTGAGGCATAGACTATATCCCCCTAAGGTTTCTCTCTCTCAAAGGTACCCTTTATAGTACCTCCAAGATTGGAGTTGAGCCGACTGGCTCCAGAATCATTGCCCTTTTCTAGGGGTTGGGATATCGTCCTGCCCACGCTGTGGGATTCTCAATGTCTCATGCCTGCAGGACCTCAGCACTGGCATAAGGACTTCCCCATTGCTAACGGAGAGCGTCAGTCTCCCGTCGACATTAGCAGCAGCGTAGTCAAGTATGATTCTGCCCTGAAGCCTCTGCGCCTTTGCTATGACCAGCCGACTTCCCTAAGGATCATCAACAATGGTCACTCTTTCAACGTGGAGTTTGATGACTCCCAGGACAAAGCAGGTCAGTGTTTAAAAAATAACTTGTGCCTTTTAGCCAGCTCTGATTTCCAGCTTAATGGAAGAAATCCAGAGCCTTCTTAGGAAGGAAGCTCGTAAATACTACAGTTTGTGTTGGTATTGTGGGAAGTCCCAGAGATTGTCATTAGGTTGCAGACTCTGTGAAGTAGGTGTGTGGGGGGGGGCTTTTCCTCCCTTGGGAGATTGTCTGGTTTTTAGGAAGGGCATTTGCATGACTGGGGTATGACTGCGAAAAGTCACAAGAGGCAGGCTCGGGGGACAGTACAAATGAGCCAGAGTAAAAAGTGCAAAAGTTGGAATTACCAGGGTCCTTCTAGAATGTGTCTTCCAGAGTTAATACCTGTCCATTAAAAACTATCTTTGGGTGTGTTATTGCCAAGGTACCAGGGAGAAGAGTGATGAAAACCTGTTAATTTTAAGTAATTTACATCCTTAGAAAGCAGTTGTGTTCAGTACTGTTTCTTGGTGTTGAGCTATTGTGACAAAGGTGGCAGTCAATCTTGGTATCTAACCAGAAATCCAGTGTGCAGACACAGGTGTTCAGAGTTGAGGGGATAGGCCTGGCTCATGGCGTACAGATCCAATTACCATAAATTATTTGTGTTAGAGCCGCTTACAGGATGCCCGCTGAGTACTTCTTATATTTTATTTAGAAACAAGAGAGGAGTCTCATTTAAACTTAGTAGCTGCCTTTGTGCTCTCTGGATGATTTAATTGCTAGGACCCTATTTTCCCAAGCGTTTGCCTCCAGAGGTCACTGAGTGAAGTGGCGCTGCCAGCCCATGTGGGTGGTGGTAGTATGGGAGTAGGAGGAGTGGGAGAGCAAGAGAGAAAAAAAAAGAGGAAACGTTCAGTAATGCTGTCAAAGTTTGGGAGTCATGCGCGAGGATGCTAATGTGGAACATGTAATTAAACCCATTATAGTCAGGTTGGTTCTTTTCTAGTAGCTGTACATTATATACCTTTCATACCTTAAGTGCAGATTGTCTTAGAAATGTTTCCGAGGTATTTGTGCAGTTGCATCCCTCCTTGGTACACAGAGACACAGACGCACACAGCACACACAAGCGTCAGGTTCACACTGTATGCCTACAGTGAAGTAGGGGATTATGTTAAGACATTTTTTCCATGATTTGGCTTACATTGCTTTACCAAGTAATTCTTCTGGTCTGAGGAAATGGTGCTCAGGTGATTAAATATGACACAATTTTTTTGTTTTTAAAAACTGACATATTTATGTGCTAAAAGATCTCAAGATACTGTATATACAGGAAGGATCGTCTAAAATTCCATTTTCAGTCATTCCAAAACCCAAAGCAGCAAGCAATGTTAGCCTGTAGCTCGCAAATTCTTTTTGAAGAGGCACAATGAAATTATTATTGTCAATGCATGTGATGCTCAGCTCACTGTGTACTTCGTTAGACACTTAAAGTGGGGATTTTTTTTGAACAGTGAGGAAGCAAATGGAAGCAGATGATATAAATCCCTCGACAGTAGTTTTTACAAACTTGTGAAACAAAATTGTGAAATCAACTATGCCAGTACTGGGAAGTGGGGTTCAGCTAGCCTCATGGCTGCGACCTTCAGTTCAGAACAGACAGACCTGGATTTAAGTTTCAGCTTGGCCACTAACTAGCTCGCCAACTTCTAAAATGATAGTAACTTCTCAAAGTTTTAGGGTTCTGTGATTCTGACATTGGAGCAGCACTAGAAGCTGCCTCAGAGGAAAGATTACATGGATACTGCGTGGAGCGCGCAGCCCAAGGCCTGCAGGCAGCAGCTCCTCGCTGGTGACAGCTGTGGCTGTGACTGCGACTGCACTGTCTGCCTGCCTTTATTAGGCAAGTGCTTCAGTTGTTGTCCCTGTGATCTCTGAAGAAACTTTAATTGGTTTTCAGATGAGCTTTGTATGTTTCAAAACATTCTGTTTATTATATTAAATATGAACTACTTCTATTTATGAAGCTATTACATACTTTCTTTCACCTTGAATATATTAACCTTTGGTGGATTTTGGGCATGCAGTCACTGATTAGAGATAGCCCTATTCTCCCAATGATTTCTGCTGGTGCATAATAGATATAATTAGAGTGTGAAACAGTGAAAACAATTGGAGGTTCTAACCTGTGTCTTTAGAGACACACATTATCACCCACTAATTCTTACACTAATTCTTACGCCAGTTAACTGGCTAATAAGCTTCATGAAGGTGGGATGAGGGCGGAGTACCTCCCCTGGATCCCCAGAATTTGGCATGGTCTGAGGATACCTATAGTAGAAAGAGAAATAATAGACACTGATGGTCACTTTGATAAGTGAGATGAAAATGATGGAAATATGAAGGAAGCTTAGGAGGCTCGCTGGGTACTCAGAAAAGAGTTCAGAGTAAATAAAGCTTATATGAAGTCTTCAAGGGTTTTGATGTCTTGGAAGTAGGGAATACCAGGAGACTTCAAGTACACGTTACTGTTCTAGAAAGGCAGAGAACAAGATATAGTAAAAGCAAAAGTCAGCAGTATTAGGAAGACTCATTCCCCTTGCATATGAAAGACTGCTTTGTAATTTAGCCAATATCTCAGTTACTTTGGTTATTTAAGAATGCAGAATGTATTAAAATGTTGATATAGAAGAACCCAGCTGAAGAGTAAATTAAAAACTGATTGTACCTGTGGGAAAATATCTGTCAGACTTTTTTTTTGTATTAAGTACAGGGCCTACAGGGTTTTACTATGTAGATTGAACTCATAGTGATTCTCCTGTTTTCAGCTTCCCAAGTGCTGGGATTACAGGCACGCCACCATGCCCAGGCTCTACTACCATCTCAGTGCACTCTGGGGGTGGGGTGGCACAGCAGGGCACATTGGGGATTGAACCCCAGCCATTGTGCTCTGCCAAAGCAGGCACTTTAGTCTGCTGAGCCATCTGGCCGCCCTGTTAGACTTTTTTTTTTTTTTTTTAAAGATCCTAGATTCTCAAAGTTAGAGCAAGAGTAGAGATACTGTCATCAACCCCCTTAAATAACCATGAAGAAACAGAAGGCTCAGGAGTTTAAATAATGTGCTAAGACTTCTTCCCAATTTACTGGAGAGAGAGAGGAAAGGGCAATCACATAAGATTTTTTAATAAGAATCTTCAGATGATAGCCTTAGTTAACACTTAGTGCCTATGTACCATGCTTTAAAAACTTTCTGCATTCATACGCTTCAGTTCCTTTACTTTTCTCCCTCTTCAATGGAGTTCTTACTTTCAAGAACTTCTCATAAATTCAGATTTCCCAGTGTGCCCTAAATATTGTCTTGTGTCCATACAGAAGTACTTGGGTGTCAGGAACTAAGCTGGTTGAGTTTATTGACATTTAAGCTAGAGGCAATTCTTTAATAAGCTTTCACTAAGAGCTTGGTTTCAAGTTCTCACCACTTTTTCAAAATTCCTTTATAACAAACCACTTGAATGAAAAATCGTTAATCCCTTGACATATTTTTTAAATTTTTAAAAAATAACTCTCTGCTTGAGATGTTTTATTACCACCTTTATCCGGGAGAAATTATTGACTCCTGCTAATTCATTAACTTTTATTAATGAGTTTAAAATGCTCCTGCTTTATCACACAGTTAGAGGCAGAGGTGTCTGAATGGTTGGATCGCCCCATCTATAATTCTCCTTTATGCTTTTTTAGATATTGGAATTCTTCTAGTGTTTGTTACTTAAAAAAAAAAAGGGAAAAAAAACAAAATACACTTCATGTGTCCATTCAAGAAGACCATTGTCCGTAAGCATAATAGGTCTTTGTACCTGGATTCTGCTTGTTTTGCAAGGGACTTTCTCTTGAAGCTGCAAAATTCTCCCTCCACAAGTGCTCACAAATTGAAAGGAAGCAAAGTGACAGCAAATGAACGAACTGGGAGTGGGCATGCTTAGTGCACACGCTATGAATGACCTTCACTAGCTGGAAGACTGACCAACACTTTAGTTAATTATGTTCACTTGTACTCCTCTGTAATTGCAGCACAGCTCATACTAAAACTTCTGTTCCCTTGAATTTTGACTTTGTTTACACTAGTGAAAGTGACAGCTAAACATCTTTATTTAAACACAATGGAATATGCACATTTCGCCCCCACGCCAAGTTTTCTCCATGGACACGGAGCCCTAGAATGATCGACAGCTGTCAGTAGACACAGCCCACGTGATTTTATCAAGGAGAAAATGGTTTAGTTCCTAGAGGTGCCATGTTTATTCTGTGGAATGACTCATTTGCTTCATTACTAGGAAATTGCTTAGATTTTGTTTAAACTAAGGACAAGGGAGTACTTGTCTTTTGGATTTGAGGCTATTAACATACACTAAGAGGTCTTATTTGCTAATCAGATGTGTCCTAAGCAGCAGTAATAGTGATTAGAAAGAAAAATATTCAAAATTGCTAAATTTTTAGTTTTATTTCATATGGAATAGTTTATTTCAATATTACTGAGTCTCCTATTATTAGCAAAACATCAAAAAAGTTTAGTGATTTTCCCTAGAATAAATGTATAAAGTTATATCATTCTAACATGTTATATCTGCTATAACATGTTAGAATATATTAACTTATATTTTTGTATTTATGTTTTTATACATAATGTGTTTTACTGGTGCCAGATCATGAAAATTAAAACTGGCTGGGGCTCTTGAATTTGAATTTAATTTAAACTTACAGGATTTTGAGAATAAATTAAAGTAGAAAGCCCATTTGTATTTCTGCATTCCTTGTGGGATGCAGTTTTGTGGTACAATAAATCAAGGACTCAGTAGAGCTCCACTAATGTGGCTGGGTTTTACAAAGAAAACTTACAGTCAGCAATTTCTATAGTTTTCAAAAATTGTTTTTTTTCATTAGAAAAATAGATGTCACTTTGAGCTATGACAGATTAGAAAGTGGCCTATAGCAATCAAGATGTAATTTAGTATCTGTTTCTTAACCAGAATGCTGTAATTTCTATTTCTCAAAAAGATGTCTGCTACCTTTAACACAATGTATGATGGTTTATTTTTATCCATAATATTGTTTTTAAGGACTTAATTGATGCAATTCTATGCCAGGTTTTTGTTTGTTTGTTTTTCTGAGAAATAACCAAGTTTTCAAAGAAGGCCAGAATCAACGTTTTCTATAGCAGTTAATCTCATAAGTATTTACTGCCTTTCCCTAATTATGGTGGGGGTCTGATCTGCAGAGCAAAATGTTTTATTTTAACAGGCGCTAAAGCAGGCACCGGATGACGATAGAGTAGTGCCGAATGCCTGTGATCCTTGACCCCAGGTCCCCCGACTCCTTTTAAAACTCTCACTAAATAATTTTTAAATAAAAGTGCTACACATTCTTGCCTAATTCTAAGTGCTTTTTTTTGGCGGTCCTGGGGATTGAACTCAGGGCCCTGCACTTGCCAGGAAAGCACTTATTCTACTAAGCTATCTCCCTGGCTCTAAGTGTTTTATGAAGCAAATATTTAGGATACAGCTTTAAAGTCTGCAAGAACAAGAGTGAGAAATAATGGCAAGCTTTATTTTCTTAGAATTTAAAATCCTGGTATGATTGTATAGACGGGAAAAGGAGATATATTTACGAAGACCAAGGAGACACATATTAAATGCTTAGTATAGTTTTGTTTAAATAATTTTGTCAGGGGCTATAACTAATGGTATAGGCAGGCGCTGCACCCCTGAGCTACATTCCAGACTAAAGTTACAGATGGTATTTGTGTTTTGTGATGATCTAATTGGTTAATAGTTCTAAAGAGTTATTATATAGGCATTTATTCAGTTATCACTTACTTTATAAACCTGTGTTCTATTTTAAGAGCACATTATAAAAAAGAAAATTCTTACATTTCTGAAAAAAAAAAATATATATTTTTGTGTGTGTGAATATTTTTTTTGTGGCAGGCTCAGACTGCCCTGGGGGCAGGGCTGGCATGGCATGTGGTGCTGGGGATTGAACCCGCAGTCCCTGCGGTTGCCTAAGCTTGCCTAAGCAGGCACTTTAGATTGCTGAGCTACCTCGCCAGCCCCTGAAAAACCTATTCTTGAAGGATAAACTAATATTTTTTTAGACAAATTTCAGATAAAAAGAAACTTGAAGCTGCTTTTGTTTATCAAGAGATATGAACACATCCACGTTTATATGTCTTCACAGATCTGTAATATAACACCCTTTATGATTCATTCTTTCTGCTTCACAGATCTGTAACCTAACCTATTATAAGGCAGAGCTAGCAGGCAGGAGTGCTGTCTGGAAGCACAGAGGTACTCTGCTCCAGTATCATGTAGCTAATTTCATCTTTTATTTTAAGTAGACAAGTGTTACTCCACCTAAGCATATTTATATGAAGTTATGGGGAAAGAAACTTTACTGTATAGACCTGCTCCCTTTGTCTTGAAATGCCAAAAGAAATTTGAGCTCCTTTTTTTATAGAATCACAAACCAAGGGTAAAGCATTTAAAGGAACATTTGCTTTAATTGCAGTACTAGGAAACTAGAATAGTAAAACTATAAACTTTTAATTAAAATACTTTAATTATATTGGTTAAATCCCATTAACATATATAAGTCAAGTGAAAAAGGGTTTTCTTTTTACACTGGTTTCCCACTCTTGTGACCCCATCAATACACAATTTGTTAATCATCTACAGATAGATATAGTTGAAGAATGTGGTTTCTTGTACTGATTTTACTGAATAAAGTTAAATTAATACCAGGTTGGGATAATTATTATACTTAGAATTTTAAGACCTTGGAGATAACAGCACCATCCCCTTTGTACAGGAGATAACAGCTCAGTTGTTAGGGAAAGAAGGTGTAATCAAATGTGTCCATTTTGTAGATGAGGAAATGAAAAGTATCTTAAGGAGACAGAGCCAGCTCATAAGAGTGGAAAGGTAACTCCATCAATGGAACACAGACTATTTTACAAATTCTGGGATGTCAGAACTGGTGTCTGGAGTCAGCACAGCAGGCTGTCACACAGGCTTGGGCCGTGGTGGCCGCAGGGCTCTCATGTATGGGAAGCCAGTGTGTTGTCAGGTCACCAACTGGATGTTTCTCAGCTGACTCACAGGGAAATTATTAATTGCATTTGAATGTCCTCTGATTGGACTCAAACCTATGACTCTGTAGTGCAACCACAGGAGGGGTGCTGGTTTGCTTACCAGCAGCAGACAAAAATCCTTCAGCTAGTACATGTAAGAAAGAAACACCCATTGATAGGCTTTTCCTCAGTAGATAGACTAACCCTGAACCTGAAATTTTCACAGAGGGAAATGTAGCTGTTGTTCATTTAGTGTCTAAAGCATATATAAAGATAGTAATATTTAGTAATGTGTTTCCTGTGCCTATGTATGTATGTGTCTCTGTATATGTATATGAGTATATGTACAGATATGTTACATACATGCATTTTAATTGTAGTACTGAAAGACGGACCCCTGGATGGCACGTATAGGTTGGTTCAGTTTCACTTCCACTGGGGCTCATCTGACGAGCAAGGCTCTGAACATACTGTGGATAAAGTGAAATATGCCGCAGAGGTAAGGTGCTCTTCTTACTGAGGAGAAAGTTTGGGGGGCCATTAGCATGCATTTCAAAAGTTTAGTCTTGTAATTCAGCCTCCATCCAGCTAGCCACCTCTTTTCCCAAGAATCTGCACATTTGTCTCTTATAAACTTTAGTTAGTTGCATTATTACAATTAAGACTGTAAAACTTCCTCTGATGTCTCCAAGGACACCATTTGGAAAACACAAATGAATTTGAATGGGAGAAATTTATTTTAATACAAATCTAGGCATAACATTTGTGCCTTCCTTCACAATTCTTTTTCTTGTTCTTCATGTTATTGATGAAATCACTTGCTATTCTACCACATAATGGATAATTTGAAAAATTGTGTGCATTTTAACTTTTTATAGTCTTTATTAGCTGTAGAGAAAAATCATTCGGTAAGGCTTGTTGGTTTTTATTATGAAAGTCACTCATGGTTTTGTCTCTCGTGGTTTTAGCTGCACTTGGTGCACTGGAACACCAAATACAAGGATTTTGGAAAAGCTGCACAACAACCTGATGGATTGGCTGTTCTGGGCATTTTTTTAAAGGTTAGTTGATGGCCCAATTCCTTGTTTCCTGTTTTCAAGAAAGACTGACAAGTAGAACGTTCATACCAGACAGATGTTCCTCTCCAAAAGACCTGAGGAAATGCCTTCAGCTCTGAAGTATTTTCAGGTTTACTTCTTCCTCCGTCTCTCCCTACCTGCTTTCTGGAGGTCAGAAAGACAATTTAGGAGACGGTGTAATTAGATACCAATTAGATGTAAACCATACAGAGATAAACTTAAGATGACTAATAGGTGTTTGTTTAAAAAATTTAACCTGAGGCTAAGGTTACTAAGGTATTATTTTATGATAGACAATGCTAAAATAAGATAAAATTTTGGGAGGGTCAAGGACGTTGATTCTGGAGTTCTGGAGAATTTCAGGTAAGAGTGGGACCTCCTAGGTTGAGTTGTGAGTGGTCCTGTAGTCAGAAGTAAAGGGAAGCATTGGATGTTGTGAGCTGGAGATTCATGAGCCCTGACTGCATGTGTTAAGGTGGCAAGTGCTGGTATTGACAAAGTCATACTAGGACAGCACCAAAGGAGGTGACAAATTTGCTCAGGATGCCACTCTAAGAGCTGCAGAATGTGAGGCTGCCGAGGCACTGTGAAGATGCTGATTAGGCCATGGGAGTTGGATCTGTTAGGAAGGCTGAAGGGCATGCAAGCCAAAGGAGGACTTTTTAGGAAGAAGAGCATACGCAATACACAATGTGTTAATTATTGTAACTGTCCTACTAACCTGTTTTGAAACTGTTTTATTGCTATTCCTTTTTTTCTCATTAAAATGAATAAAAAAACAAACAATAAAAGAAAAGACAAAAAGCATTTAAGAAAAACATATAATAGTGTTATCCAACAAGGAGCCAATGTACACCTTTGAGGAATGAGCTTTACTTTGCCACTTGGAGGTCACTGGAGAATTTGAGAAGTGTACAAGCAGAGACAGAGGCAGTTGGAAGACCCAGGGACCATAGGGGTGTCTGCAGTATCAGTGTCTTCAAGCTAAGGTGGATGGATGGGTAGCTGGTATAAAGTGGTAGACTTTACTTCATGTTTTTGGAGAAATTTTATGATGGTGCTAATGACCAAATCAAAACTGGCACATAGCTTGTGGTTTGCTGTATCTTGTCTTTTGTGTCTTTGTATAGATTGGCAGTGCTAAACCAGGCCTTCAGACAGTCCTTGATGTGCTGGATTCCATTAAAACAAAGGTAAAGTTTAATTTTCTGCCCCTTCATAGGGTACCTATTTTTAATACTTCATTGGTTATGTAAGTTCCTTTTGATCAAAATCAATAGTCTTGTGAATACGTAGGGTTGGAATGAATGGCGAATAAAGGTGAAATACAGCTCATAGTTTAATGAATTTTCTTTCTCCAAAAGTTGAGCCTTAAGATTTGTGGTTCTTTATTCTTTTGTATCATTTGAACATCAAGAGGTAGAGGAAGGGAGAAGAGAGGGGAGAGAAAGGGATGAAGAAAGGAATTAAGATGTGTTATATATAGGGGCCAGGGAGATGGCTCAGTGGAATAAGTGCTTCCCTGGCAAGCGCAAGGGCCTGAGTTCAATTCCCGGTTCGGAAAAAAAAAAAAAAAGATGTGTTATATAGACACAAAATCTACACAAAGAGTATACTGTAGACCTGCACTAATAAAAAGAATTAGAGAATCTTAAAATTACATGGATGATGAAAGAGCATCTGCTCCAATTAGTCATAAGCAAACCTTTACAGGATACTGCGCACTGCGTGTAGTCACTTTGCTCACCCAAGTGATGTGGTAGTGAGTGGGATGCCCAAGGCCGTGCATCACGGAGGTTGGTGCTGCACGACCTCTTTGAGTCCATCCAGCCTGCGTTTAAATTGCCTCAGCAGCATGGCAGTGTGCAACTGCTTAGATGCTGGTCCCTTGCAGGGATGTCATCACCAGTGACAACTCTGGCTGAACAAAGCTCATCCTTCAATTGACACAGCATCTATCTTCAAAGTTAAGCACCTTTTCCTCTCTGCCTGACCCCCTGAATCTTCAACGCCCAGTCCTTCTTCCTCACGACCCTACTGCCTCTCATAGCCTTTTGCTTACTGCTCTTAGGCTGATTATCTCTCCTTCCCCTTAATACTTCTCATGTGACATAATTTTATCTCTCTGCAGCAGCCATGTCACTTTTCCAGTAATGCATCCTGTGTGTATCTGTGACCTGAAAGCACAGTACCTAGGGTTGAATGCCATGCTTTAGTTTTGACCCAGCTGTCAATAGTTTTTCTTGTTCACACCTGGCACATTATATATTTCCTAGTCAGATACCTTGTTAACTTATTTTTGTTTGCCAGAACATGTAGAACTTCTGTTTATAAACACTTTTGGTTATCAGAGAGGAGTAGACCTGTTTGTGTCTTGTGCTGTCCTACTGGTCTCCTGCTCTGATCATGTGACTTTTTAACCCACGTGTTTGCCCAACAGGGTAAGAGCGCTGCATTCCCTAACTTTGATCCTCATGTCCTCCTTCCTGAGAGCTTGGACTACTGGACTTACCCGGGCTCGCTGACCACACCTCCTCTATTGGAAAGTGTGACCTGGATTGTACTCAAGGAGCCCATCTGTGTGAGCAGTGAGCAGGTTGGTTTCCTAGATGTCTGCTTAGAGGTAGAGCATTTAGTGCAGTGACGAGCTGAGCTTTGAAGTCAGACATGCCTGGAACTTAATCCTCTTGGTGCTGCTTCTCCTGTCATGCTTCTTTTCAGGTCCAAAGAGTATTTAGTAAGTAAACAGCACTCAGGAAATTGTTTTTTAACCAGAGCCCACATAGTTGGTTTAGTATGTAAAATTGGATGGTCATTGTGAGGATTAAATGAGAAAGATGTCTGATTTGAATGTATGCATTTTTCTTGCTTATCTATGAAAAATAGAAGAAAGAGATTCATACTCAAGGTTACATAGATATTAATGGTAGTTCCCAGCCTACTGATCACTGACATAAGACATTACTGCAGTCTTAGTTATACAAGAGTGCATTTCTAGATGCTAACAAAAGAGAATACCCTTCAGAATTTGTTCCATCTTCCTGCAGAGGCTCAGACCAGGTACTCTTACATTAAGTGATTATTGCAGCCCTCAAGACCTGAAGGAGTGGTCATGGAAGTGCACCCAAGTGCATTTTGCATTGACTGTATCTTCTCTTAGCACACAGTTTGATGCAGAAAGTGGGCATTTCTTAGTATTCACAAGAGGAGACAGTCAGCAGCCAGCATTTTTTGAAAATGCCTGTTGAGAAGTGGTAGTATGACTTCAGTCACAAAATTTGACAACATTAAGTTTAGACATACAGTGTACAAGAGACCTTTTCACTGTCTAGCATTGTATTGGTAGACAGGTATAGGAAAACTGAAGTGTTTCCCAGCCATCTATCTCAGCGGGTCAGGGCTGTACTGTACTCTTGTGTTTCTCCCTTAGAATATTTACTTATGATTACGGAACATAGCTCACATCTTTCTTTAAAAAAAATCTGTAACTAAGTGGAAACTCACTTGTAGAATATGCTGTCAAAGTGGGCCAAGAAAGCTAATTGACTATTGTCTTTGTATCCATTTGGGTAGGCTTCTTGTGTGGAAGCATAAGGAGAGAATATAATGCTACTTATTTGTAGATACAGTGTTTGGCGTATGGTTTTAAGATACAACATTCTTTGTTCTTCTTTCACTGAATAATACAGCTTGAGCACCAGAATCTGCCTTTGATAGCTGTTATGGCAAATAAGTTTATTGGGCACACGCACTCCCATACACACAAATACACAGACCAGTAAGGACAATTGCCTCCTCCATTAGCCCTCGTGCTCTGAACTTGCACTGAAGATAGTAAGTGATATTAAACTAGAAATGCTGTATGTGTGGACAAAGTACGAAAGTAATAGTTGGGATAGTTTTCATATCATGTAATACAGAATCTGCAGGTAAGCTCATGCCCAGCCCAGATAGCCGAGCACTTGTTCTCCACTTTTGCAATTTACTTTCTTTACCTTGGCCATGGATGACTTTTGGTTGTCGGAGAAGCCCTTTGAGGACCACATCCAGGTATAACCACCTTCTGAGGAGGATTAAGAGAACTTTTCCACTGATTCTTTAGGAATAGAGACCCCTTTCCCTGACAGCCCCTAGCAGAGTTTCACACCTCACTGGTGAGCTCTGTGCTCCTCACTTACTTCTAACGCAGCCCTCAGTAGGGATGGCGAGCACCATGCCTATTTAAAACCTTCAGATTTACCTCTCTTACCACTTAAAGGAGAGGATAGATGTCTGTTAGTGGGAATGTAGAGGGGGAATCGGTGTTAGGTATGCAATATAAATAAATCTCCTGCCTTGATTCTCTGTACTACCTGATGCTAAAATAATGAGCCAAACTGACCAAAGTGAGATTATCATGTAAGTGGTAGAAAAGAAGTCTAAATCACTTTTATTTATTTATTTATTTATTTATTTATTTATTTGTACTGGAACTTGAACTCAGGACCTTGTGCTTGCCAGGCAGGTGCTGTACTGCTGAGTTATATCCCAATCTCAGTTATACTCTATTTTGACTAAAAAGTGCAGTTTTTCTCAGAATCAGACTCTTCCATGTTCCAGGGCTCCTGGTGTATAACTCTTAAGTGTCCTTAGAGAATCTCTTCACATTGTAGGAGCAGTAGATTATATGTTTCATGAGTGGATCCACGTCAAAGTTGATTTCCTGGGAAGGATGGAAGGAATATTAATGAATAAAAATGGTGACGTTAAAGGCCATCAGTTTATGGCTTCTGTGTGACCACCTGAACCACCCTTTGTTATTTAGACAAGAAGGGAAATAGCCTGTCCTATGAACAGCCTTGAAAGAATAAGAGCCGGTTTGAAAGCTGTCTGTGTCACAGCAGTGCTCCAGGCAGCTGGATCAGGTTCGGAGGCAGTGCAGATCGCTGGCGCTGGTGTGGAAGCCCTTCCTGGCCTGGGCAGACGCGCCCTTGGGTGTCTAGACACTGAAGCAGACATGCCGGCTCGTCACTCAGCCTGTGGAGCTTGCGAATCCTGGCCCCTTCATCTGATTGCATAGATGCTGTACTTTGTCTTTCCAGAAGCAGAAAACAATTATCATTTGAATCTAGAGCATTTAATTGTTGTCTTGCATGTTAGAGCTATGAATTTATAGACTTCTGATGATTGATGTAATATGAAAATTAGAAAAATCAGCTCACTGTATTTTTTTCTTGCAAATGACCTCAATGATTTATGGATTTTGTGTAAACTGGTCTGTTGCATGTAAACATACTATTAGGAACCAAATTGAGTTCTGATCATTGATACAGAATTGTGACTATTGGAGGATGCATTTCAAGATTAAACATCTGCAAATAAGTCAACACTATTGCAAAATTTCAGTTTTTAATTAATTAATTAATGTATTTATTGTCTCATAGATGTCAAAGTTCCGTAAGCTTAACTTCAATGCAGAAGGTGAACCTCAAGAGCTCATGGTGGACAACTGGCGCCCGGCTCAGCCCCTGAAGGCCAGGCAGATCAGAGCCTCCTTCAAATAAGATGGGCCCCAGCGTCGGCATACACATGAGGAATCTGTGGATGTCTTCCTGTAGCTAAGCACAAGCATACCTTGGTGATTTGGACCCCAGCTGCTTTTCTAGATCCTTCATCTCTCACCTGATGTGCTTACTAATAAATTGTGAGGAGCAATGTGCTGGGATGGGCTGGAGCGTGGCCTGTGGCATAGCCTTTCTGCAGTAGGAATCGAACACAAAGGGTAGGAATAAAGCACCTCAGTGATTCACAGCACATAGGCTAGTGAGCACTCAGTACTGTTCACTGAAATGCTGTTTTTAAAACATAGCAGAGTAGGATGGTTCAGCTCAAATCCATGTCTTGAGACAAATTGAGCTAACTGAGGCAAATCAGATAAAATATTTTACGTAATATAAATTGAACAAATGTTTGTGATCTCGAGATGCTGTGTTAAAGAAAACTTTTAAAATTCTTATATATTTGTAGCAAAGTTATCTTAAAGAGGAATTATGTTGTAATTTAGTGACTTTTGAACTTGAGATATAAAAGAAGTCTATCTGTAAAAATTGTTATAGTTGCAATACAGAGTATATTTCCATTCAAATGATACCATAACTTAATAAATATTGTATTTTAGATATATTCGCTAATAAAATTCAGAATTCTCTTCTGGGTTATTTCATTGTATGGCAATGGGCAGTAATGGAAAACCAAATGCTAATGTTCACAGCTCATATCAATTTGTTATTAATGGTGAGCCATCATAATTGGCTTACCCATACCTGAAGGAGAAACCCTGCGGTCATTTACTGTTTACCAATGACTGCTTTAAGTGCTTTATGAGCGCTTACTCATGTAGTCCTCATGACAACCTAATGAAGATTAATAGTGCAGGGGAAAGAGAACTGAGCACATTAAATACAACAAGGTCAAGAAGGACGGAGCCACTGCATTGACGCATGCCCTTGGAAAATAAAGTCCATCATATCTAAAAGGAGAATTCAAGGAATACTCTGAATTAAAAGGATACTTTGGATTTTAGAGTGATAAATTGTATGTATTATGATAGGAAAAAGAGGAGTAAACATGAAAGACAAATCCCCCTCATTTAAGCCTGCTCTGGACTGAGCTCTGTGCCAGGACCCTCGACTGCTTAGTTAATGTTATTCTGGAGCACTGAGGTCCTGCCCTTTAGAGGCTGGAGACCCTTGGTAACTAGATGGCAGCGGTTCTGAACTCCTTTACACTCTCACTACTTTCCTTAGGCATTATTCTGCATTTCAGGCAGAGGTTTGGTGCTTGGCTTTGAACCCCAGCTCTTCTCAGCTCCTCTGGGCCTGTGGTAAGGAGAGAACAGCTCTCCAGAAGTAGCTCTGCAGTGTAGTTCATCTCGTTTTTTAGGGACCAGGCTCATCTCCAGAACCTGACCCCCCCTTACTACTGCTGGCTGCTTAGAAACTGAACTTTCTGTGGCAGGCATTTCAGTCCGATCGGGTTCACGTATGCTTCTAGGTGTCTTGTTGCTCACGGTCCTGCTGGCCCAGGGGCCAGGGGAAAGCACGCCAGAGCTGCACGCCCTCCCCAGATCTTTGTTGTCTGTGCTGGCTGTGGCACAGTGGGCCTAATCCAGCTCAGGCCTCTCTGTGTATCAGCCGCTGTGGGCTCAGTTGCTCAGGTCTTCAGAAGTGTCTGTAGCCTAATGCTCACCATTGCATTATCTCTAGTTGCAATGTCCTGCGCTCTCCTATCGCACGGGGACATTTATCTCTTCTGGCCCAGGTGCCTCACTTCAGCATCCAGAGCTGATGAGGAAATGGGGAAGCAAAGGCAGTAGTGTGCAGCGCCTTGCTGGCTTCCTCTTCTCTCCTCCTCTGTATGCCGGATCTGAAAAGGTTGGCTGGGGCTTCTATGTAGCAACAGCTTCCTATGCTTTTTTCCCCTCTGAAAACAGCATATACTTGGATTCTTTCCCAGGACCATAATAATAGACAAAATGTCCAAGAAAAAAATTAGCTTCACCATAGAGAAAAGCTATCAGTAAATATTTCACAATTAGTGTCCACAGGATTATAGATACGCTGCCACCAAAGACCTTGGGAGATTTACTCAGCCCATTTGGTAAAATCTAGAAGAAATTTAATTTGGGCTTCTTGCTCTTCTCTCTGCATGTTCTTGGTTTCTGATTTTCTCTGTAAGGGCTAGGTAGAGCTTCCCTGTGTTTAACCAAGATAGCATCATTACTTTTCAGCTACCATGCTTAACTTGCTTCATGGAAGGACGAAAAACTCTCAAGACTCTGACCCTGAAAGGTGCTTGTTCCATAAATAGGAAGTTACACGGTGTCCTTTACATGTATAAGACCCTGGGAGCCGAGGTGCCTGTACTAGGGGACTTGGGGTAGAGTCACCGCACGCTGACTAATGGCTGCCCGGAACACAGCTGGCGGGTTGCCTTTTGCACAACAGCACACAGGGCCTTCATGCTTTTTAAAAATTTTTTTTGCAGTTTTAAAGTATATTTTTTAAGGAATACAAAATAGTAATAAGACCTTAGAAACAATACAAAATATCACTAAACAAAATAAGAGAAATGTAACAATGGTTGCTGAATTATGTGATGCTGTCTTCAAATTAGTTGTTTAGGTTACTATACATAAAAGTGTAAGATTGGTTTAAACAAGACAAAACAAAACCAATAACAACAACAAAAAAAGAATAAAAAGAAAAAAGTTAAGCATTAACTGCTCCTTTCAAAAGACTAGCAGAAATTGGCAGTACAATTATCCAAATTACCCTGCATATATACATGAATACATTTTTCTTTTCTTTCCTTTGTCCTTTTCCTCTTCCCAGGTTTTCCTTCCCGTTGAACAAATTCTTTCCCTTTCTCAGTATCTTGTGATAATGTTTCTTGCTTTTTTTTTTTTTTTTTTTTTTTTTTAAATGTATCTGGGTGAAGAAACAACCAAAATAAAAATTATGTTTTTGTTTTTTTTTTTTTTTTTTAGTGGTACTGAGGATTGAACTCTGGACCATGCACTTGCCAGGCAGGTGCTTATGCCACTGAGCTATATATCCACTGTAACAATTTTTTTAAACTTTTTTTTTTTTTTGCAGAACTGGGGATTGAACTCAGATCCTTGTGTTTGCCAGTCAAGCGCTTATCCTACTGAGCCATCTCCCCGACCCCCTTTCTCAGTATCTTGTACCTTTCAGATTATACTTACTCTTCTAGGATCTCACACTAGTGAAACAATACGATGTTTGCACATGTGGATCTCATTCATTTCACTTACCAAAACAATCTCTGTTGCATCCATTTATGTACAAAAGCTTCACATTTATCTTTTTTTTATAGCTGAGTAATACTCCATTTCATAGAGGATGGGATTCCTTATAAAGATACCTGGAGAGAGATGAGGAAGCAGAAGGGCTCCTCGGGAGACAAGGGCTACCCTGTGCTCGCTAATCCAGGACACCCCTCTCCCCCAGCACACGCACACCTCTCTGGTCTTTGAAAGGCAGGCAGGCTATTCCTGGTGTTCATGAAGAATGTAGACTTCCTCGTCCTCTCAGGAGTAATGATTCTGCGTTGCTGGGCAGAGGCCAGCACACCCTCCTCGAACAGGTCTGTCTGACCCTTTCTTTTACCTGTCTGGTCTGTCATTTTCTCTCACCCTTTATATATCTGAATTTGATCCCTAAAAGGTTTCAAGTCTGGATGCTTTGTGGTTGGAAGTCGATTCTCAAAACTTCCTGGCAAGAAAAATGATGTTTTCAATTGTGAAAGCTTTGCATAAAACAAGTGAAGAATTTCAAAACAATTTTACACACATACCCTTGCACTCCCTGTGGCGGGCAGTGTGTGTGTCTATGATGACAAGGTATTTCACACAGCATATCTTGGCAAGCTACTTGGTTCCTTTAGGATCCATTATGAAGGTGGAATGTAGTGTTACAGCACCTTTTATCCATATGCCCTCAACAGAGAGAAAAATTCAAGTATTCGTATTTAAGTTTCATACAGAGGACAGAAGTATGGTCTCATACCACAGCTGTACCCTCATTTCATGGCCCAATTCCCATTCACCAGTGGTCCTCTATCTCCTCAAGGATTCTGCATCTGCTCTTGTGCAGTTTCCTGTCCCTAGAATTGCCCTTGGACCTCATTTTCTTCTCAATTGCTAACACAGAGCAAGTTAGAGTCACCTTTCCAGCCTCCTCCCACCTAATGAATACATACGTACACTCAACCACATGCATGCATGAACATGTACACATATTGTCTCTTGATAGTCTACTAGACTTAAGCATGCCAAAAGTTAGCCAGTTTCTGGAGAGTCATGCCAGTTTCAAGATCTATTATCCATAAAGGTGGCAGGGGATTTACCCAGATTTATGTTCTCATCATTAATAATTGTTAATTCTTCTATAAATATATTATCATATATTCACACTGAAATAAACATTTTTCTCATTTTATAAATGAATTGTATGCTCATAGAGACTAGAAGACAAGCCCTGGTCCCACAGCAGATGTGATCAAAACGGGGTACATACCCAAGCTTTAGTGCTGTGCTCCATCACCCATACCTCCTCTGGCATGGTACTTGCTGGCCCAGGGTTTGATCTCCAAATATCAAACTCTCACCCCATTCTTGCTCTTTCTCTGAACTGATGGTCTTGGAAGATGAACCATGAGGGCTAGAGCTTACCAGGCTGGACCAGCCAACTTTGCACGGGAACTTTGAAGATACTGGCTGGAGTGGACCAGCCTTTATCCATCACAGTGCCTGCCTCCAAACAAAGTTTCAATTAAGATTGATAGAGCTGAATAAATAATAAATGTTTGTAAAATTTCATTGTGATGATGAAGCTTCTGAGAAGGATATTAGAGATGGTTGTTCAACAATATTAATGTACTACCACACTTTAAACTTAAAAATGGCTGAAGTGCGGTACATTCTATATGTTTTTTATTATAACTTTTGTAAAAGGTAAATGTAAATTATTACTATACTATCCACTGTTTCCTCATTTAATTCTTCCCTCTCCATTGAAGAACAAGCACAAAATAAAAGATGCTTATGTACACAACTTAAAAGATGGACAGGAATTTGATTCAAATGCTGCATTATCATGAACTAGACAAGGCTGATTCACTGTAAACATCTTTCTTTTTGTCAAAATTGCTATTTATATTTTCCTGTCACATTAGATCAAGATAGACAGATAAAAGATTCTCAGTTAACTTTCAACCAATCAGACAGTAAATAAAATAACACAAATCTGAAATAGATTAATCATTTATCTTCCAAAATATAAAAATTGAGGCACAATGAGAAGAGATGGGGGAAATCTTGGCAGTGTGAACTTTGTAGCCAATACCACTGCCCAGGGGCAGCAGAAGCGTTCTTCAGGGTTCAGTCAAGGGCTCAAGTGTAGGCTATTTGGCCAGTTAAAAATTACATATCTCCTTTGATGCATTTTGCAAGAGGCAATGTAATGGGGAAATAATTGGATTTAATTATTTGGCTTTATTAGGGCTTTTTAGACTTTGAAACAAGTGGAGGAAATACTTGCTCATTGTCTTAGTATTTACTCATCCCCACGTGCATGATTCTTGAGGGCTTCATTGATGAATGCAGTGTCAGCTATTTTCTGAGATCTAGGAGAGGGAGGTGGTATCAGACATCAGGCATGAGTGCCGGTACACAGCAGCCTGGTTCCACTCGCGCTAAGACCGAAGGTTTTTGATTTTAAGGGATTTGGGGGGTTTTATTAAACATAGCTGATATATTTGAGCCCCTTTTGAACATGATAATGTCTTTTACATAGATTAGCTCGCGAGAATTTTATGTGCTAGTTCCTATCATAGTTCTTCTCATTGTATAGATGAAGAAAAATGATTTTAAAAGATGAAATAGCTGGACCCAGCTCAGACAACTGAGAAACTCAAATCCTGGAATTAAACCTAGGTGATCTGATTCCCAAACTCATGGTAACCACTTGTAGCATTTGGACCTATAGATCATTCTTGTCAAGCAGAGGTTCATAGGTGAGGTATCAGAAGTAAATTAAAATGATACATGTTTGATAAAAAGAGGAAGTTCACACAGCAGCACTATAGCCCTTAGAATCCACCTGCATTCCAAATGTGACCATGAACAGATAACCTAAAGACTCAAATGTGTTCCTCGTGTATAAATGGCGATGCCGATGCATTTCGGGGACCGGATGTGAGAAGTCAGTGGGATTGTGTACCAAGAGCCACAAGGAAGTCTGGGTCGTGGTGGTGCCCAATAAACAGGTGTTCTTTTTTTTTTTAAAATAAATCCTTTTATTTTGTCAATTAATAAAGTTAGCATTAAAAAGACAAAGTGTACACATTTAGTGCTCCACCTCTTTATTGTTGAAATCACACGCAATTCAAAGTAACTGTCAGTGAGGCTTCTGTTAAAAGATCTTCCAGCAGACTGCTTCAGTTTTATGATGAAACAATATTGCACTTTAAGATAACCTTCAGGATTCTCTTCACGGAAGGCAAGTATTGTTTCATCTGTGCTTTTTCTTAAGACTAACAGCAGAAAACTACTTTAAGAATCAGTATTTCAGGGTACAGTAACATAATAAAGTACCTATTTTAGAATCTTAGAGGTTACATTGTAAGAAACTCTTTAGCTCATAATTAGTAAAAAGTATACATAGTATTTTTCATTTTAGTGGTCCAAGATGCGAAGGTTTCCAAATACAATTTTGTTCTCTAATACTGCTCCAGGTGGGATGTCAATTCTGTCACCATGATTTGCAATGATGATAGCTGTTCCCTTTAATGAAACATTTTTGCCAAATGTCACATCCCCTGAAACTGTGAGGTGATCCAATTCAAGCATACTTTCTGGTATACTTTCAAATCTTCTTAGGTAATCTTGAACCTTTGTAAATGAACTGCCTAATTTAACCAAGGGCACTGTAGGAAATTCCTGCTTTTCACTCATTGTCAGACATCCTGCATTAAGGCTATAGAGGTTTGACATCACAAGCAAGAGATCTGATGTGGTTTTTACAGGAAGAAAATGGCTTCTTGGAACATTAATACCTAGGGAATTCTCAAAACTTTTAATCGCAGCCCCTACTGCAGTTTCTAACTGAATGACATTCAGGCCTCCATCCAAAGTCTTTGGATTCACAATGATTTCCATGTCAATGGCATTCTGTTCCTGCAGTCTTTTAACTACTGCAAGAGAAATCCATAGGTTGTTTGTGTTAAATATTTTAAATTTTGATACAGACTTGAACTCATCAACGTGTGCTTTTGGCACTTGAGCGATTTCCACCAGTTTCAGTTTGCTTTCATATTGACTGAGTGTCCCACCCTTTACTTCTGCACGTGTTGTATTTGTGACTTCCATGACCAATTCACAGCATTTCCCATTGGGTGGGTTCATCAGATGATTAAGAATATAAAGATCCACTGTGGCACCCAGATTATAATGTTAGACACAAAAATATATTCTTTGCCTTCTCCTATAAAGGTGTCAAGCAAACCAGAGTTGTAGAAACTGGCGTAGATATCACCATGACCTGGGGGGTACCAAGCTTCTGTGTTCTCCCCTGAGTAAGATACATCCTTTGCTACAGGAAGTAAAGATTCTTTATTAATCCTTGGGTACCTGCTTTGATTGAAAGTGTAGCTTTTCACACGACAATGATTATACTTCTGTAGTATTTTTTTGGTATCTTCATCCGTATTAAAAGAATTAATTAAAACAAGAGGAACATCTGTATTGTAGGTTTTGTTCAAATGTTCAATTTGTTGAACAGTCAGATCCAAAAAGGTATTCTCATTCCTCACACCAATCAGACTTTTAGGACCTTTGCAGCCCATGCTGGTTCCTAAACCACCATCGAGTTTGACCACCACTAGCTTATTCAACACAGAAGATATGTTATCAGGCAGTCCTCTGGCCTTTATCTTTTCATATGGCTGAACTGAATCTTCTGGAGGTCTTTGGATTTTCCCCCAATCCACAGAAGGTCCCTTTTCTTGCAAAAATCTATGAAATAGCTTCCGAAATCCATCAAGATCTTTTTTAGTGTGCTCAAACTCATGTGAGGGTGCTGTGCTAAGTATTTTTTTCTAATTCCTTCTTCACAGATAATTCTAGCTCTTGTCTAATGACTTCTTGGAATTGAGAAGTGCCATCTTGAGACTTTGCTAAGATCTTCGTCTCTTCTTTTAGCAGCTGAGAAACGGGGTGTCTATGGCGCCCCAGAAAAAAGGCTCTCAGGCTGAGAGAAGGCCACCTCTGAGGCACTTTTCTCTCCCCCTCTTCCCCACACACAGGCACATCTGGAACCTGTCACCAGCAATCGCAGCCCAGCTGCTGCCCCCCCTCTTCCCACTAGTCAGCCGGCTCCCTACACCAAAGCCCCCACTTTCTCTCAAACACCTCCCCTCCCCCTTCATTCAGAGCAGCCCCCTCAATCTAAACAGGTGTTCTTATGCACACAGTACACTCAAGAACTTTTTTCCAATTAAAGCTAAGGCCTGTGGATCTCCTCAGCCTGTGTATGTATACCCATGTTTAGTATGTTAAGACAGTGGTGCATGGGAGGTCACCCCACTTCTGCCATATGCTCACCATGTGACCACAGGGCTAATATTTCCACACTACAGTTCCCCTATCTAATTAATAAAAATAATGAAGACGCATGCATATTAGGGTTGTTGTGAGGGCTAAAAAGTTTAAGCTAGATAGCACTCTTAATATCATGCTTAACTCATAGCAACCACTCCCTGAATGCTACAAGAAATTACTAAAATTCATTGATTCAATCACATAGCTATGCAGTTCGTGATGTAGGAGTTGATTTTTTTTATGCTTCTGGAAATACACGTCCAAATGAGCGAGTATACGACTACCTGTGTTTCAGAAGTAACTTCAGCATTGTCCCACCTAGTGGAATGAATGCCTGATTCTTCTGGGTGTGCCCAAGGGACACCCATAGTGACATTTCCAAAAATGAACACTGCCCTAATAACCAGGGGCACTGCCCTATTCACAGGGGTCTATTTACAGTGGAATGACTGTTCCTGCAGTGAGTTTGTGAAGACCAAGCATCCAATGCCTTGATTAGCATGCAGCGCAGCCAGCAGGCAGTGAAGATCCGCTGTGTATATTCATTTGATCTTGCAGTGTTGAGGAATCGCATTTGCTGGCGTCCTCCCAAATGCTCCTAGCCTCACCCTCTGTGCCAGCAAACAAACACCTGGTGTGTTTGCTTAGTTTTCCTTTACTTACCTTTCAGGTAAATTTACTAAGTAATTACAGAATGTTTTCTACAGTCATGAGTTTATAGTGTATGGATTTTAAACATCACTGTCCTGGAAATAATAATTTTATACTTAATATTTATATTGTAAATGAACTTCTAATGTATACCAGTAAATATTGCAATATCCAATTCTGCATACAAACCAGAAAATGTTCATAATAATGGTTTCATGGTGTTAGTGCTCTGACCCTTCTTAGAAGACTCACAGAAAGTTTGATCTGTGAAAGATTTTGTGTTCACATATTTCTTCAGATCTGAGAGGTGTGTACATTTATTCAGAAAACATTCCACAGGCAACTTCACTACCAGTGCCTGCTGACAATGCAGGAGGTCAGACGCTCCTTGTGGACAAAGCCTGTGGGGGATGGATTCCTGTAGGATCCCTGCTTCTGAGTACTTGCACACTCCTGCTGTCAACAGGTAATGGGACATCTGTTGTGGCATCTGTAGCTAGGAACCTGCTGACATTGGGGGTAGTGCCCTCAACCAGCCCTGGCTTCAAGCTGGACCCCGTAGGCACAGGCATTTGTGTGTACTTCCTACTCACAAGGGCTGTGATACTCTTAGAAAAGATGGGACTGGTGCTGTGGTGTTCCCTCTGTCAGTGTTGTGCTGCTTGGAAGTCTCGGTGGGCCCAAATGCTGACAAGTGCAGGTTGCTGTGGTCTCTAGGAACTTGGAGGGTGCAGGGCTCATTAGATCTTCATGCTGTAGACGGCTTAGTCCAGGCTTCTTCATCCCTCACAGTGCTTTCATCTGCATAGTACATTCTGGCGTTTTGTTTTCATGTTGGTACTAGATATTGAAAGCAGGAAATGCTGAGCTATAGCCCTAGCTTTTTTGTGTGTGCAGGGTCTCACTATGCAGCTCGGACTCAGAGTGATCCTCCTGTTTTCAGCCTCCCTAGTGCTGGGATTACAGGCATATGCCAACATACCCAGTCTTGGTGAGGACAGGGTCGGTGCATCATACAGTGCCAGGGATTAAACCCTGGCCCCTGCTCTTGCCTAAGCAAGCGCTTAGTCAGCTGAGCTATTTCACCGGCCCTCCCCCAGTCTTTTAAAACTTTTATTCTGTGAATCTTTTAAGTTGTCCCTGTTTAACTTCAGATGTACCACCCTTCTGCCTTAGCCTCCTATAGCAGGGATTACGGACATATGCCACCATGCTCAGCGTGTTCTTTTTTTTAATCATCTGCCACTCCATTCTGTGTGTTTCTTACAGACTCGAGTCTCAGTGAGGCCAAGGTTCCTGTCTTTTTTCCAAACCAGGAAGATTTTTCAGCTCTTATATAAACTAATTAATTCTAGTAGCCATAAAATGTAATGTCAAACTTTGCTCTTTGACAATATGTTATTTTAACACCTTCTGAATTCACTGAATGAAAGAGGATTTCTAAATCCACTAACAGCAGATGACCATGCATATTAGATTGCTTAGGCTTCTGTGACAGAGTCCCACCACCTGAGTAATTTACACAACACTTTTGTCTCACAGCTGTGGAGGCTGGAGGTCTATAACCAAGGTACCGGCCAGACCTCTGAAGGTGCCAGGCGAGGGTCCATTCTAGATCTGTCTGCTGTTGCTTGGTGGGAGTCCTGTTTCAATCTTCACAGAGCACATTCTCCCTGCATATGTGTTCAACTTCCTCTTTTGTCTGAGGACACCATTTACACCACATGCAAGACCAAAACTACCCCTGATAAGCTGATCATCACTAATCACATTGCCAATGAACCCGTTTCCAAAAAGGGTCACATAGGGAGGTACTCCATCTCTTTTTTTGAAAGGAAAGGAACATAGATCAACCTGTAGCACCATCCAAAATATCTTTTCATGTAAGATTTGTGTTATTTTATTCTTCACTAATTTCTAAACATTACCTATTTAGATATACTTATTATTAATTGTTGCTGAGGGATTTTATAAAGTATATATAGCAGGTTTTAATCACTGTGACAGAAATTCAATATAAAATTAAAAGGGGAAATCACAGAGCCCTTATATTTTTATTCTATACAAACATTTTTTTCAACAGGCAGATTTTTAAACATAATATTTATGTAGGTTATTATTTCCAAAATGGAAATAATAAATACCTGCCAGTAGCACTCACATGCCATTTCCATTTTGGAAATAATAAATACCTGCCAAGTAACACATGTATGATGTCATTAAATATATTTGTTATAAATTTTTATTTTTCATGAAGTAATCCGTCTCTTGGTCATATTGTCTATTTCATTAACATATTTATTGTCTTAGACTTAATGTTACAAATATATTGTTATCATAACAAAGGCAAAGCTATTTCTATATATGTCAGAATATCAATGCATTAAATTTCTATGATCATTCTATAAAATAAAGCCTTAATAGTCTTGTTAGTTGAAAAACAAATTTTTTTGTATGAAGTAAACACAAGTCTGATTGACTTTGTGTTAACTTATTGAATCAATGAGGAGAAACAATGCACTTCTAAACTTCTTTCTTAAGAACCTGACATTCTGGCACATTTGAACTTCAAAATTTGCCTTTTTTAAAGAAAAGGATTCTGGGTATGGTTGAAAATCATCCTATAATTTTTCTTAACTCTTTAAGGTCATGAATAAGAGCATTAGAATTGTACTGAAACAGTCTCAGGCAGAGTTGGCCCAATTCCATGTTGTTGATGCCAATTAAGTCAAATCACATACTCAGTGATCCCAGGCACTAAAGCACTGGTCAGGAGCCCCCACCAAGCCCCTCCCTGCTGAAGTCAGTGCTCCATGGTTCCAGGTCAGGAAAGCAGGTCTCTGCTGTTCTCTGAGCACCAATGACCACTTACTAGACTTCAGAGGAACCCAGCTCAAATTTGGACCAATGAAGGGCCAATAGTAAAGATTTCTTCCCCAAGGAAATGACAACAGGTGAGACCATCAGGTAGACTTCCTTTATAAATCAGCCTAGAGACTACAAAGAGGCTTGTCTAATAGAGGAAATCAGCCAACACAGAGCCAACAAAGATGGAGAAGCCCACAGCAGACATGGAAAAAGTTGTTCACCAGAGCTGCCTGATTCTCTCACTTCTTTGTCTCTGCTCTTTTATGTGAAAATTTTTACCTCCTATTTTGATTTATATTTTATTTTTGCAGTTCAATGCTAGGTACTGAACCTAGTACCAAGCTCCACCTTCAGCCTCCTCATTTCCCCTTTCGTAAAACAACCTGTGTTCTTTCCTTCTTACAGGCTAAAGTGCCTGTGCATGTATAACCAGAGGGCACTTGAGTTCCATGAATGTTTATTGAGCCCCACCTATTAAATGCAGCTTTGAACTAGAGATGGTCAGGTTTCCAGGAAAGCCTGCAAGAAATCTTTCTCTCTCACTCACTCAATCATATATATATATATTTTTTTTTCTACTTACATACGTCTCTTCCACTAATAGAGGACCAGATCTGTTCCAGACCTGTCTCCTAACTAGCACGGATGACCACATTCATTATATCTAATTATTAAAATTTGGTCAGATCACATAGTAACCCTAATTCACCCATCTTATTTTAGAGAATTAACTTCTCTGTGTTTGATTTCTTCATCTTGAAAAAATGTAGAAAATAACCTTAAGTGACCTCTTATGAGAACCAAAGAAGATAAGGCACTCTGAAGTGCTTAGCATTGTGCTTGCACACGAGTGCCTTACAATCATTTCTTTCTTTCTTTCATTTCCTCCTCCTTCTCCTTCTTCCTTTCAGTTTTTGTTGTTTATAAATTCACATTCAGTCTTAGAATTTCCCTTAGTTTTGTATTAAGGTCCATATCTCTAAAGTTAAATGGAGTACATTTCGTTATTCTGGGTAAGTCCTACTTAGTGTGACATTCATTTCCTGTATCACATTCATTTCCTGTATTGTGTGCACTGCTTGACCTTAAATGAAAGCCAAAGAGAAATCATTCTGTGTATCACAAAGTTTCAGATGAACTATGAAGAAATAATTTTTAGCTCTACTCTCTCTATAATAAAATAATGAGGTCAGGAAATGGGAAATACTTCTTTTCTGGAAATGGACTCCAAAGTATACAGTATGTAGCAATTCTTCCTGTGACAAATGTGAATCTTTCCAGTGAAACACTCTCTTCCCTCCTGCAATCCTTGAGACTCCATTAAGAAATGCCTCAGGCAGACTCTCAGTACTTGTCTGAAAATTAAGGCTCTAGTATTAAGTAAATACTAAGAAAATGCTCTTTAGAGACAAATCAAAAAGGTCAGAACTCCTCAGAACATTTATGGTTGAAGGAAAGATCCGCAGGCTGTCACACCATCCAGGTCAGTTCCCAGCAAATCTCAGAGGAGTTGTCCCTAACTGCTATCTCTACTTCCTTTACCTTCTGAGCTTAGCTTACCTCAGTCAGGGTTCAGGCATGTGTGTTGTGTTGAAGAATATTAAATCCTGCTGCATATATAATAAAAAAAGTCCAGAGTTATCCATCTAAAGCACAAACCAAATCACATACTTCTCTTCACAAAAGCATTCAGTGGCTTCTCACTGAACAGACACGAAAGTTCAAAGTCTCTTTTTACCTTGCTCTCAATGCCCCACATAGCATCATCCTTCCCTTCAAACCCAGTGCCGTCTTCTCTTAGCTTATTTTACTGTATACTTCCACATTTTTGCAAGGTTTTTACATTTCTTATTCCTTTCTGAAACACTTTTCCCTGTGATATATATTTCAAATATTACACATCCAAGTACTAGTTAATCTACTTAATCATGACTACCAACGTGACTGAACTCAGAGACTATTGGAGATATGATTGATATATCTATTTTAGAAGATAAACTTAATGAAACAAATTCATCAATATTTGTAATAACCTAACCTCAACAGGATAATAAATATAATAAGGTTATGAAACATGACAAAATGGAAATTTTAAGTACATATTCATGAAATAAAAACTGACATAAACTTGTACTAATGCAAGTACTGCCTTTTCAACTTTACCTAAACTTATCGATGGGTGAAACCACTGGTAAGGGCATAACTGAATGGACTATTAGGAGGTGGGGCTGCTGAGGAAGTGGCCTTAACAGTATGACCTTGGGAACTATATTCAGTCCCTGGCTTTCTCTCTGTTTCTGCACCCTTGCACCATGATCTTTCTGCCTCAAAATCAACCATCCATGGATTGGAACCTTTGAAACTGTAAGTCAAAATAAAGCTCTCTAAGTTGGGTAGATCAGGTATTTTCCCCCTGCAACTGAAAGGCTCATCAATATTAATAAATGCTGTCTAATACTGAAATGAGTGTAGTGACATAGGCATTCTTACATGTGTTGGTAGAAATACAAATTCTCTTAGAGGGCAATAGGGCTCTAGGGAGCTAGACTTCAAATTTATTATGAAGGACCTTGGTCATTTTCATACCTTTTGCTCATAAAAATCTAGAGAAAAATGTATCTATTTTAGAAAATAAACTTAATTTAACAAATTTATCAATATTTGTAATAACCTAACCTCAACAGGATAAAAAATATAATAAGCTTATGAAACATATGACAAAATGGAGATTTTAAGTACATATTCATGAAATAAAAACTGACAGAAAATACTAATGCAAGTATTGCCTTTTCAAATAAAATTCCACAAACATAGGTGGTAATAATATGGTACTTTGGCTGAATTGCTTTTCTCTAATTTTCAACTTTACCTCTCTTATTTCAAGACTGTAATAAAATACAGAAGTACATATAATAATTTTGACTAAGGTTGATTTTAGTTTAATTCTATATCTCTAGTAATCCATCATTTCCAATTTTGGAAGTTTTGTAATAGTGAAAAATATAGAAAAGAACAAAAATATTATAAAAATATGCATATGATTAGTTACTGGGGTTGTATCTCAGTGGTAGAATACTTGCTTAGAATACTCCAGGCCCTGGATTTGATCCCCAGCGCCATAAAATGATTCAACCTACAAGCCAAACAATGTTAATGTGACAACTATAAATTATATTCTCACCATCTTCTTTTAAGAGGTATTAATATTCGATCACTTTTGCTTTGTCTTTCCTCCTCAGTAATTAAGTTAAAAATAACAACAGTAAGCTCTGCATATACATAGGTCAAATTATTTTGTTCATTCCTGTGCGTTTTTAAAAATTAATAATACCACTAGCTTTGTGCCCATAAGCAATCATCTACATACCTGTTGTACCTGGTATGAATTGAATTATTCTTTCTGGACCTCTGATTTTGTAGAAACTGCCTCATGATTGGCTGACCTACTTTTCTACACTCTTTCACGGTTTCTTCCAAATTTTTGCCTCTAAAACTCTCAAACATTTTCCACCTTTCGTTTCATAAGACAGCCTTCTTTTGTACTTTAATGAGAAAATAAAAATGATTAGACAAAAATACCAATTTATCTTTGTATCACCAAGGACTGATCTAGACCTGATGGGGAGCAGCACTCTTCCATGCGGGGATCGCTCATGTCACTCTGCTCCAAATGCAGATTAATTAATATTTTCAAATTCACCCCATCACCATTCCAAGAATCATGATGTTTTCACTCGTCTCTTCCTCTTCTGTTTCACAAAAGTTAAATTTCACTTTTAACCAAGAGCTAGCTTCTGTTTTTGACTTTTTTTATCTTTGCACAAGTAATCCTTCTGAATGCATTCCTTTGTTTTTCAACCTTTTCTTTCATACTGTGTTTGACCTACTCAAGTTGATCAATAAAAACAAATATGGAAATAACATATATCCATGGAGGCTTTAGAACTAACTTCCATTGTAAAAAATGGATGCATAAGTAGAGGAACTGGCTAGTTTTATGAAAAAATCTAAGACACTGAAAAACTAAAACAAAAACACTTGACAAAGACTTTATTTGGAATGTATTCCAATACAGATTCCAATAAATCAATTTAAAAGTTCATTTATTGTAAGAAAATGATCAATTTTAAATATCTTCAGACAATGTGAGAAACCATTATTAATTTGATTAGATATAATAAAGGAATTAAAATCACATAAGAAAAATCTGCAATTTTAGTGAAGCATAAGAAAGTACATGGAATTGCATTAAATTTCATGGTGTTTGGAATTTGCCATAACATTTTGTTTGGAAAGAGAGATCAAGTAAAAGAGTAATTGTAGTAAAAGTTACAATGTGATTGATACTTTTTTATAATGGTTCACTTTACTTTTACTTCTACTTCACTGAATGCTTGAAGATTTTTCTCAATTATTTAAAAAACCCATAAAGATATATATTTCTTTTAACCTCATTCTCATTTCCTTTCACTCACTCACTCTCTCTGTCTCTCTGTCTCTCTGTTTCTCTCTCTGTCTCTCTCTCTCTCTCTCTCTCTCTCTCTCTCTCTCTCTCTCTCTCTATTTCTCTTTCTCTTCCCTTCTTTCCTCCCTATTCTCTGTCAATTTTAGAAAAAGCTATCTTTCTAACTACTTCCATTCCTTGTTTACCTATAGCAGCCTGATTTTTATGCACACAGTTTTACCGAAGCACTTTCCATCTGTGTCTCCTGAGGCTGGAGAGGCTGATCTAGCCTTAGAGTGAACACAAGAAGCACAGTGGGAGAGGGGAGGATCTGTTCAAAGAACTGACATGTTTTAATTTAACCTGCATTCCTCCCTTATGTATGAGATCACTGAGAAGCATGCTGTAATCATTTCTTTTAATTAAATTTATTTTATTTTGAAAAGTAAAAGACAAAAGCAGGAACAAAAATCAGAAACAATGTCAGGAACAGGGTAGCATACAACAACACATATGTTACAAATTTTCAGAACAAGAATAGTTGATTAACAAAGATTGATATATTACTTATTTTGATCATCAAATCTGTTCCTCAGATTAACAGTTATAGTTATGTAAGATTGGACATATTATTGTATATTAACGCTTGTTTTCCAGAAACCTTAATTTTTTTCTTGTCTGTTTTGTTTTATTTTATCTTTTTAAAAAATTTATTTTGAAGAGAGTATAGTAACAATTAATGTGACATTAGAAATGGTACACATTTAGAAGACCACGATGAAAATTATCCAAGCATGATTTTTGTATTACACATTTCTTTCCTCGATATAGGTGCTCAGATCACAGATATCAGCATACAGCATTAATCAAGGTGAAAATTCTACACATTAACAGCTATTTTCAAAAAACTGATGGAAATTTTAGTAAATCACCTCAGCTATCCTGTATATATATATTTGCATGTTGTTCCCCCTGCTTTTTTTTCTATCATTTCTCCTTTCCTCTTCTTCTTCTTCTTCTTCTTCTTCTTCTTCTTCTTCTTCTTCTTCTTCTTCTTCTTCTTCTTC